CCCCCCCAACCACTTCCAGCTTAAATAGCGTGGAGAATGTAACTTTCAAACTGGATCTGTTATAACGATTGATTGATTGATGGATGGATGGATTGATTGATTCATTCATTCATTCATTGAATGACTGACTGACTGATTTATTGATTGGTCGGTTTTTTGGTTGGTTGGCTGTTTGATTGATTGATTGATTGATTGATTGATTGATTGGTTGATTGATTGATTGATTGATTGGTTGATTGATACGTTAATTCACTTATTTATTACATTATTTATTTCCTGATTGTTTAACAGATAGACACGTTGAGAGAGTGACTGGCTGTTTGCTTGATTCGTTGATTTATCGATTAGCTGATTGATCGGGAGCACTGCCAGCCCATGTCCAGTGCCCTAGGGATGGGGTTTGAGACTCTTGAACCTGTTCTTAGCTCTACTGGGGAGGAAATCAGGCGCTCGTAAAAATAAGGAAATCAAAGAAATCAGCATTTTTTGGGCCGATCGGCATTTTTTCCCCTAACTTTCTTCTTTTTTTTTTTTTGGCTCCACGCCTTTCATGTCCATTTAGAAACACATTTGACAAACGTTGGATATGGTTTGGATAGATCAATGGATATGTTTTTCGCCAAAAGAAAAGCAAAGGAACACACTTTAAGGTGATGCCAATAACCCAATATGCCCCAAAACTGAGGAGCGCCTGATTCCGCCACGTCGTGACACAGAGGAATGGGGTAGGTGGTTGGCGGGTGCTCTGCTGTGGTTTGCTTCTTCTTTCCCATCAACCATCTATCGTCCTTATCTCCTCTTTTTCTATTTTATGTTTGTTACTCTCTTGTGGCGCTCATTTGACCTTATGCAGCTGCGAGTGCCGTAAACCCTCTATAAAACTAAACGAAAGAGAAATGTGCTACCTGTCATCTGCGCCTTCGCGACCACGGGAAAAGAGTTGTCTGTTGTGTAATTGCTTGATAAACTCTAGGGACGTTTGATGGATGGATGGGTCGATGGATAGATTGATTGTTTGATTGATTCACTGACTGACTGGCTGACTGACTGACTGACTGACTGATTAATTGATTGGTCGATCAGTCGGTCGGTGGGTGCGTGTAGTGATGACTGACAGCGGCGTACAATACTTCCATCTGTGAACTGTGAACTGCAGGCAGCCAGTACCAGCCACGAGTGGACGGCGTGCCCTTCTACGCCACACAGGGCTTTGTCTACACGCCCTCTGACCTCCAGGCCATTGACCCCGAGGGTGACCTTGACCTTGACTCGCTGGAGCACACGGGGGAACAGTACTGTGCCAAGGTCGGTGGTTGTGGGAGAATAGTGTGGTGCGTCCTTCTTTGAGCTGTCGCCTTTTTTATCTGTCTATCTATCTGTCTGTCTATCTGTCTATCTGTCTATCTATCTGTCTGTCTATCTATCTATCTGTCTATCTATCTGTCTGTCTATCTGTCTATCTATCTGTCTGTCTATCTATCTATCTGTCTGTCTATCTGTCTATCTATCTGTCTATCTGTCTATCTATCTGTCTATGTCTATCTATCTATCTATCTGTCTGTGTATCTATCTGTCTATCTATCTGTCTATCTATCTGTCTATCTGTCTATATTTATCTATCTATCTATCTATCTATCTATCTATCTATCTATCTGTCTATCTATCTGTCTATCTGTCTATGTTTATCTATTTGTCTATCTATCTATCTATCTATCTATCTGTCTATCTATCTGTCTATCTGTCTATGTTTATCTATTTGTCTATCTATCTATCTATCTATCTATCTATCTATCTATCTATCTATCTATCTATCTACCTATTACCTCTCTGTATAAGTCCATTTGTACCTTGTAGTTTGTTGCATTTTTCACGTACATTTTTCCTGGTGATTCTTTTTTTACAATTGCTTCTCAGATTATCTCTAATAGAAAAAGCAGCTGCAGTTCCCCCTATGTTGTTCCGGCACAGTATGGGCATGCCATTGATAAATCAGCCAATTTACAATTCTACTGCGCATAAGAACATGTTGCTATCCCCCCTTTGGGAATGGCCTAAAGACACTTCAGTCAGTAGCACTGCCCGGGGTGGGGGGTGGGGGGTCAGTCAGTAGCACTTCCCGTAAATTCCCTGAACCCGTATGTCCCCAGACGCTGACGGAGGCTGTAGGCGAGGGCATGAACCCAAAGTTCGCCTCTGCAGGCTGCCTAGAGAGCCAGTACATCCCCCTGCTCATCTCCAGCGCCTACAGGTTCCCCGCAGACAGCCACATCAAAGCCACGTCCAAGATTGACGGGGAGAGGATAGGTTAGTGTGGAGACCCCGTTATCTCAGAGAGAGGATAGGTTAGTGTGGAGACCCCGTTATCTCAGAGAGAGAGGATAGGTTAGTGTGGAGACCCCGTTATCTCAGAGAGAGAGGATAGGTTAGTGTGGAGACCCCGTTATCTCAGAGAGAGGGTAGGTTAGTGTGGAGACCCCGTTATCTGAGAGAGAGGGTAGGTTAGTGTGGAGACCCCACTATCTCAGAGAGAGGATAAGTTTGTGTGGAGACCCCACTATCTCTGAGAGAGGATAGATTAGTGTGGAGACCCCGTTATCTCTGAGAGAGGGTAGGTTAGTGTGGAGACCCCGTTATCTGAGAGAGAGGGTAGGTTAGTGTGGAGACCCCACTATCTCAGAGAGAGGATAAGTTTGTGTGGAGACCCCACTATCTCTGAGAGAGGATAGGTTAGTGTGGAGACCCCGTTATCTGAGAGAGAGGATAGGTTAGTGTGGAGACCCCGTTATCTCTGAGAGAGGATAGGTTAGTGTGGAGACCCCGCTATCTCAGAGAGAGGGTAGGTTAGTGTGGAGACCCCACTATCTCTGAGAGAGGATAGGTTAGTGTGGAGACCCCGTTATCTGAGAGAGAGGATAGGTTAGTGTGGAGACCCCGTTATCTGAGAGAGAGGA